CATTAATTACAGTGTAGTCCCTGCCCTTAGCCCAGTGCCTTGACCCACTTATTTCCCAGCTCCACCCTCCAGCAGGATACCACTTCACTTCTACCAATCTATATCAGCCTAAATACTGTTGGTTTTCAGGTGGTCTCTTCGGTCTTTAGCTAGTCTTACCATTTTTCTCCAAAGTTATCTGTGGTTTTCTGCAGTGTTACTCTGGTGCACACCTAGGTACAAACTTAACCTTTTTTTTTTGAGGACTACAAATCACAAAATAAAAGCAGATTACTATGTAGAAACCTACTGAATACATTTTGCCTGTGCAGGAAAATTTTATCAAAGTTATTCATTTGACAAATTCATCTCATTTACAATGTTAGCAATTATAGTGCTTTTCTTCACAAGGTTATATATCTTTATTTCAAATTAATTACATGTTATTCCCTTAATTTAACCTTTCTTAATCTGAAGCTTCACATCTCTGAGTCATTCTGAACATCTCAGCCTTCATTTCCAGTTTACTAGTGTAACTTTTAACTTGTCTTGATGTAATGACTGCTCAAAACATCTCTGTTCTCTGCAAAACTAGATTTCCAAGACTTATCTACACAGTGTGGGGCACCTAGAGCATCACCTCAGGCACTTATTCCCCTGGTTTCTGTCCCCCAGGACTAGCATCCAGGACTTTTATTTGCCTTCTCAAAATTTCAGTTATGCCTTTGGGAGTATTTCTGCATTATTTTAGCCAACACTTGATATCAACATTGGAAAATCCTAGTATTTCATTTACTTCTAAAAATGGCAATTTGCCAAAGGCTTAGTTTACTAATGACATATTTATTGCTTTTTGGGGGGTGGGGGAAGATACATGATACTATGAAAAGATCTCTGAAAATAACTTCCTAATAAGAATTCCACAGTCTAAAATATGACAGCAAGCAGACCAGACATCTGCTTTTATTCTTTAATTAAATGTGACTTCAGCCTCAAGGTAGAATTTAAAAAAACAGCGGAGTTAATCTATCCATATGGTTTCTGACAGCTGGTATTCCTTATAACAACCTCCCTTCTTTCCTAAGGAGACTGTGCCTCAATGGCTACACTTCTACTTATAAAGGGTGGGAGGATGCAGAGGGCAGAACACTCTCTATCTGACTCCAGGCTCGGTGTTTAGAATGGGCAGAATAATCTCTAACAGAACACCAGCTCCTGCACTGGCAGCTTGCCTGGCACACAGGTTAGAGTTCAGGAAGACTAGGCATGGCTCTAAAGAAAAGAATCTGCACCAATTTTAAATACTCTTAGTATTAGCAGCTAAGGGTATAATCAATAGGCCAAATTCTTAAATATTGATAAATACTTCAATTAATCACATAGCTGATAAAGGAAAAGGGTGCTGCAGATATCATGACAGTTATCAGAAAAACTGCTATCATTTTAAATGGGTAACTATGACAGCAAACCTTGAGAACCAGAGTGTTCCTCACATCTGTCCTACATCCAAACCACCAGAAACAGCATTAACCAAGAGAAACATAATGCGAGCACACGTCATTTAAAATTCTCTGGGAGCCGGATTAAAAAAGTAACAGAAACAGGTAAGATTAGCTAAAATAACATTTTATGTAACCCAATTTTTCAAAAATATAACCTCAACACATTATTAAGACTACAAATTACTGCGATAAGTTTAATTTTGGTGGGAAGGGTCTAGGTTTAAAAAAAAACCTGGTGTGGATTTTGCACTTACAGCTCATCTCAGTTCAGTCCAGCTCCGTTTGACTTGCTCACCAGCCATGTGTGTGGCTATCCACAGCTTGTGGCTATGACAAAGGACTTCATGGTTATAGAATATTAGCTCTATAATGCAGGGGTTTTTTGTTTTGTCTTATCTATTGCTGAACCACCGTCACCTAGAAAACACCTGGCCTTAACAGCTCAATGAAAGTACGAACTGAATGCCTGCTTTATTTTCAGTTCCCAGGTAAATACACAAATACTGCATCACCTCTATGGGCAAATCTATCACCAATATCTACACTTTCTCCATTAATCAGACCCAAAAGATGCTAATAGCACCTTATCTCACATCTTTCAGGGAAACTAACTGTTCTCTACTAAAAAATATTAATGATTTAAAACTCATAGCTCCAACACATTAAGACTGTCAATTAGTATCATCACTGTTTGGTTGGTTCTAATCATGAAAACAACAACAACAAAACCCACACAAAAGACCAAACCCCAAACCAACCCACATATACATTTTTAGGGTATTCTACTTTTAGATTAATATTCCAACAAAAATTATATGTATCTGTTGATGACCAAAAGACATTCACAAGATGTTAAGAACAGCACTATATGTAATAGGACAACTGGAAGCTACTCAAAAGTACATCAGCACTGAATGAATAAATTATAGCACATTCACACAGTGTAAGACCACATATAGCAATGGGAACGAATGAACCCAAACAGCATGTATTAACATGGATAGATGTCAAATAGTACTGAGCAAAAGAAGCCAGACACCATGGAGCACATATTTCAGACTCCATTTATATAAATAAAGTTAGAAACCTAGGTTAAATGAACCTAAGTTTTTAAAACCAGTGGTTACTCTTGGACAGAGAATAACTAGCAGGAGGGGCTGGATAAAGTTTCTTGACTTGTGCATCCACTTTGTAAAAATTCACCTGCACACAGAATTTACTGAAAACCAAAAACTCAAATAGCTCCTGATAGAGACTATTCAAGATGTCTAACTATTCAATAACTACAGCCAATTAAGTTTCATTTTTATTAACAAGCAAAATGTTTTAACTTTGGGATTATCAAAAAACACTGAACTTTAAGAAAAATATCAATATGATATCAACACTATTTTCTCATGATCTTCCAACCTAGCTAGGAATGAACTTTGTTTCCAATGTGGGTTCTCATTGCAGGGATTCTGACGATCTGGTTTATTAGGAGCCTGGAAAGAAATTTTTTGCCCTGGGACTCCATTACTTTCACATTTCTCAAAACTAAAGAATTCTCTGGTTTCCAAACTAACATGGGAATAGGTTTTCTTAAATAGTTATTTCACTACCTTCTCCATACCAAAACCCCATTTCTTTACTGAAATCTTTCATCCTTTCAAAATCACAACTACATACATACATACATACATACATACATACATACATACATACATAAATATCTATACATCTATATCTCACAGTGAAAATGCTAACAGACACTTCTGTCTTCTGATGTGGTACAAACTACCATAAAATCACAGATTCTTATACTTCTGGTCATCGCCATGTGTTTCAGGCAGAGCATCCCTGAGACATAAGTAACTGGTTTGCCCAACAGAGTCTGCTCCCTGTGTACTAAAAGGCCAACAGCACTGGAAGAGAGCTTTAACCTGTAATTCAGAATACTGTGGATCTAAACAGCATTCAGTTAATGGCTCTGGGCAACAGGAAATTAATTTGGTATCAAATCTCTCTTCTCTTCAGACAACATGCTTAAAATACTAAACATGTACCTAATGACAAAAGGAATTCTGGTAGCCTAGTGGTAAACAATTGTACCACAATGCCAAAGGCATATGGTTCAAATGCACAGCCTGTTCCGTGGAAAAGGATAGGCAGTCTCCTCCCCTATGACTTACTGCCTCTGAAAACCCACCGCAGAATATGCTATGGGTCAGTTTTCACTCGAAGGCAAGCAATAAGAGCAATAACAAACAAAAGCAACAACAACAATAGCAATGAGCCTCTATTTAATTTGAATATGTTGGTTACGTAATCTAGAAGTGATCTGGATTCTTGAATAATAACACCTACAATAAGATTACATTTTAGTTTAATATGCCACCACGCTCTGATTATGTGTTTTAAAGGCTCTCTCAAGTAAATTGTCTGAGGACTCCCCCGTCTTAAGCAATGATCCAGAAAACAAGTGAAAAATATAATTTTTTCTTCTTCTTTCACCAAGTTCAGTGATGGATGTGGTTTTGTTTTTTTAGGTCAGAAACATTATTAATGAATCCAGACCAGTACATGCTTATTCAGAAACTACTCAGAGAAACACTGCTACTGAAAGCAGCTGCCCTGTTCCCAATGAAGGGTTCCTTTAATGGCAAAAATTTAGGCAATTAAACACTGTGAAAGTGAAGATGAAATAGAAGAAAGAAGGAGAACACACAAGAGAGGCTAAAAAACAAGAACAGCCTTTGAGAACTGGGCCTCAGGAGTTCACATGGAACAAGAGTTGTACAAATGATAGCTGATGTTCTCTAGGACAGAACTACAAAGAGACAGGACCTAACCCCTCACGACTTCTATGATCTGAAAACACACACAAACTAAACTTTTGAGATTCTTAAGTAAAATAATTAAAAACAAACAAGCAGACAAAAACCATTATTCTGACTTACCTTATAAGGGCAAGCAAATTATCAAGCAGTTTCAGGATCTGCTCGGTACAGGGGTTACGGAAGATTGGCGTTCCACTGGGTGTATAGCCCACCACAAATCCCCCAGCTTTGGCCTCTTCTAGGTCAGTGGGCCAGCACGTTCGCTTTATAACTCCCAGGATGCTGTACACACAAAACCTCATCTATATAAAAACATTAAAATGAAAGGTAAACAGATGGAAAAGTTCAAGGCAAAACGGCTATTAGATGGAATTAAGGTTTTGACAAAAGTGGTAGAGAGACTAACTAGACTCCACCTGCTAGAGGGTCCTAGGCAAGGTCACCAGGGAACCAGCACTGCCATCTGGGGGGCTATCGTAGATTCTGGAAGCTCCCCCTCCCATTTTTTTTGTAGTTGATTTTAAAATAAATTTTATTGTATTAATTTTAATGAACATTTACAGAGATTCTGGATTTCCATACACTCGTTGCATTTTTCTCCCTGCCCACCCCTACCCCCAGTTCGCTCTTTTCTTTGAAAAGTAAAAGAAAAATTCTTTCACTGGTATACAATTCCCCCCAGCACACTCCGCTATGCAACCTTCATTCTGGACTCTTGTCATGACCATAATACCCAGTCATATATCACTTTTAAACTGTTCTCTCCTTCCTGTTTCAATGCAGTATACATACATAATTTATCCAATTTTTCTCAGTCTCACTCAACCCTGATATCAGTCCCATTCTTCAACAGCGGCACTATGCAGTATTTGTCCTTTTGTGACTGAGGTATTCCACCCAGCATAATGTCCTCCAGGGTCACCCATTTTGAATAATATTGCATGAGTTCCCTGTTTTTCAATGCACTGTAGTATTCCTTTGTGTGAATGAATATACCACAGCTTCTCTATCCATTTGTTTGCTGATGGGCCCTTAGGTTGTTTCCATCTCTTTGCTCTTGTGAACAAAGCCGCAATAAACATGGGTGAGCATATATCTGCTGGGGTGGCAGTTATGGTTTCTTTAGGGCTGGAAGCTCCCTTTTCATTGACACAGGACCAGCAGTGATTCTCCCACAGAACACAGAGTGGAAGGTGGCCTCAAGCCTGTTTGCTTCAGCTTGAGCCTTAACAGCTCTAACAGTCCAAACCTCCAACTTATGGTCCTCTCAACGAAGCCTATTATTTAATCATTAATTAATTAATGTCATTTTTGTCATGATGGGGGTGGTTGTGTGCCATAGAGTCAGAACTAACACACTGCTGACCCTCTACTGGGTTTTTCAGAGGCTATAAATAGCACAGGAGGGGAGTATCCATTTTTTTCCTTTAGAGCAGCTGGTGGATTTGAACCAGTGACTCTGGGTTGGTAGCATAGCTCCTTACCATTAGGTCACCAGAGCATAAAAAAGAGCCAAGAATAAGGCTCATTTGAATAGGAAATATTTGAAAAACGTTAGGATTACAAGTTAAGCTAGCACTTGGGATTTTAAATAATGGAGAGCAATGGCAGGGAGGATGCTCCCTGCTTACTAAGCTCTGTCCTACTGCCTTATTTTATCTTCAGTCTTTCAAAGCTCATTGCTGGGGAGCTGGAACAGACTCACTGCTGGCCCTCGAGCAGGTGTGAGGCTGTAAACATTCGGGGGGGTGGAGACTGCCCATCTTTCTCCTGGGGACCTACTAGGTGAATCAAACCACCTGAGACGTGTGGCCTTTGGGGTGAAGCTCGGACTAGATCACCGGAGTTCCTTCTTTAGTACTTTCAAAAAAATCCCTCAAACTCACTGCAATCAAATCACAACCAACTCAAAGTTGACCCATCAGGGGACTTTCAGAGACAGAAAATGATACAAGAGGAGACTGTCCATCCTCTCCTGTGAAGCAGCTGGTGGAGTTAGCTGGTGGGGTGAGAACTAACACATTGGTGACCCTCCGTTGGGTTTTCAGAGGCTATAAACAGCACAGGAGGAGAGTACCCTTGTTTTTCCTGGGTAGCAGCTGGTGGATTTGAACCATGTGACTCTGGGTTGGCATCCTAACTCCTTATCCAGAAGGCCACCAGAAAACAACAAAACCCAGCAACTCCACTGATATTAAGGTGGTTCAAATTCATAATGACTCTGTTGGATTCTAAGGATGTGAGTCTTTACGGGAATCTTTCCCTTGTGGTGGTGGTTAGCAGCTAAACACATTATACATTACACTTCAGAGATTTTTAAAGCTAAACACTTAAATCCTTAGGTGCTAACCAATTAACCAAGAAGTTGGTGATTTGAAGGTAAGGAGTTGCACTGCCAAACCTAAGGAACATGGTCTGAATTCCCACTGTTTCACAGGAGGATGGATGATAATCTCCCACGTGATTAACTGCCTTTGAGAACCTGGGAAGGGTGAGCGATGGGTCAGTTCTGATTTGACATTACACAACATATGTTCTGTGACAGAAAAGAGGGGGACGGATACCTGCTTCTGTAGGGATTTCAGTCAAGAAATTCCTATGGGGAAGTTCTACTCTGTCATATGGGATTATTTTATTAGGAGGTGAAAGAAGAAAGAAATGAATGAAAAATACATTATTCTTAAAAAATAATAATTTCAAGATTAGAGAAGAAAAGGAAAGAGAATCTTAGGGAAAAAAACTCCAGACATCTCATCAGAATAGAAAAACAAATCTACACAAAACTGGACAAATAACAGCACCCCGCTCCTCCTGTGGCCAGCACAACTTTCCACTCGCTGGAGAGGCTAACTCACCCGTGCCCGGTTCAGGCCACAGGGATCCTCCACATCTGAGTCACAGTTCTTCCGATCTGCACCCACGAAAGTGATAAAAGCATCAACATCTGACAATACTCTGAAGGTTGGTCGGGGTGAAAAAAAGAAATCATAGCAGAAGTTTAAGAAAAGATTATTTCTTCCACAGAGCTATTAAGCTATGGATAATTTAGTCCCAAAGAACATTTGTTAGAGAAGAGTGTAAGGAAATTTCCAGCTGTCGTTCCAAAGCTCAAACTATGCACCCTGCCACTCCCAAATGTTTTTACAACAATGTTAAGAAATAAAAAGATTGTAAGCTTAAACATTTAAGAAAAGAATTTCTCTACTTTCTCGGCACAGATGTATACTTGTGTAGCTCCTACCGGTTCTCATTTGTTTCAATTGTGTCAACACCATAGATTTCACCCTGTGGGCTCATAATGTACACTATCCATTTGTACTCGTTCTCTCAAGCCCTCTGTACAGCTGGATCTTTTCAGAGGTCACATTATAGACACATGCTTTCAGAGAACATCAGGCACCAAGGATAGTGGCATCATACATTGATATCCTTACACACGCCCTCCCTGTCCTAGGTAAAAACAAATGAACAAAAAGAGGGCTTCAGTGCAAAGGTTGAGGCAAAGAATCTCCTTCACCTGTGCATGTCTTCAGAAAGCCAGATACTGGCCACGGGCGCCATGAGCTCCTCTAAGAACACCTTCTGCCGCTCATAGTTCTTGAACTGGTTGCTGATGAGCACAAGGGCTTCCATGAGGGCACACTTCTCCATTTGTGTCAGGAGGAGCTCGTTGGAGAGGAGTTGCTTCACATGGTTATACAGCATGTCAAAATTGGGCTGTAGATCAAAGAAAATTTGGTGATGGTCTGATCTTTAAGGATCATGAGGTCAACCAAGGTGGGTGGGGTGAACACCCAGATACTCCCTGGAAGGTAGGGTCAAGAGGCTGGCACTTAGTAATTCAGCCTCAATGTATTTTTTTTGCTTGAAAAAGCATGGCAATTTAGGGAGAAGGAGACTCTTGTTGGGAGTACTTAGCTGACTATATTTCCCTACACTATAATTGTGAACATAAGAATTTTTTCCAAAAAATTACCTTTTCTAGATACTCTTATACATAAAGATGTTTTTCACATACGTAAAAAGACAAATAGCATCTATGTAGTCAATAAAGGGATAATTTGGAATCTGGAATACTGCAAAATTTCTCACAGAAATCCCAAAAAAACAAGCTGGGATTTGTTTCTACTTTCTCTCAAGATTGGGCAGTAGGTTAAAGAAATCACTTGGTAATGCTGGGGGAGAAGGGAGAGTAAAGGGGTGAGGATAGGTAGGGGTAAAACCACAGGGCTGCACAGTTTGGTGGGTGGAGGGAGGAACGTAAGCAAATGGGAAGGATCCAGGTGAAAAGACAGGGTAATGATGGGCAAGGTCCAATGGTGACTGACTTTATAAAACATAATGCAGAAAGAGGGGATAAAAAATATATACTGCATTGAAACAGAGGAGGGAGAGAACTGTTTAAAAGCAATATATGATTTCGATATTATTATCATGACAGGAGTCCAGAATGAAGACTGCAAGTGGGCTGGACCTTGGGGGGTGGGATGTATAACAATGAAAGAGTTTTTCTTTTACTTTTCAAAGAGAAGAGAAAACTGGGGGGAAGGGGTGGTCAGGGGGAAAAAAATGCAACAATAAATGAATGGAAGTCCAAACTCTCTGTAAATGTTCATCAAAATGAATAATAAAAAAAAGAAAGTCATCTTTCCATTCTGATGATCGAAGTCAAAGACAAATTGGGTCAATCATAAAAAAGAAAAATAAAAAGTCAGGGATTTAGAGCTGGCTAGCTGAAAATGAAGAAAAATAGCATGGGATTGAGATTGAACAATGTTCAACTGTTTAGATCTTAACTCTGCAAACAGTAATTTTGTGTCCTTATGTAAGCAATTTAATGTAAATAACAGTCAGTTTCTCATTTGTTAATTAGGACTCGGTGAATTATGTCATGGAGAACAGATGAAGTATGTGAAGGGTCAGGCGCATAAAACATAGTCAATTGTTATCTCTCTCACACACACACACACACACAAAGGAATTATTATATGACAACCAATAAAAATATTTAAAAAGAAAGAAATCACTTGGTAATGTAAAGAATTGAACATTTACAGGGGGAAACTTGGTCATCCACATAAAGAACTATTCATTCTGAAGGAAAGAAAAAATAATTGATTAAAAAAAAATAATAATATTTTTTGTGTGTATATTGTCAAACTGGATCTAACTAGTACAGGAGGAGATTAACCCTCCTTCTCCAGCAGAGCATCTAGTGGATTCAAACGGTGTACCTCTGGGATTGCAGTAGAGCTTCTTGCCATCAGGCCACCCGAACTCCCCCCCAAAATAGATTTTTAACTACATTTAAAAAGTAGAGAGAGGAAGAGAAGACACCAACTCAAAGATCCTTATTCTTTGTAAAGCTTTAATTCTTAGATTTTCCATTTTGTGAGGTGTATGTAGCTGGGATGAGATTTAAACAGAAATAAAACCACACCAGAGAGGCTCTGGTGGCCTCTTGGCCGCGGTCCAGGAGCTCACCAGTACTAGCTGGGGGTAGTCCCGACACATCTTGATGATGGACGAGCATGCGTGCCTCCTCACGTTTCTCACTGCCCGAGTTCTTGGGGGCTAAAAAAGAATTCAACATCCTCACAGTCACTTTTAAAATAGCTAACAGATGCTGGACAGAACTATGTAAACATTTCCTTTAGAGACAAATTCACATCCAATTTTCACAGATTTAAGCATTTAATGGAGTGACAGTTATGGTCACCATAAGTCCATATGGTTACTATTGTACCTAGTTATCTTTAACACTATATCTTAATACAATATGGAAATAATACCTCAAGAGCTGTGGCTTAAGTTTTACTAAGTGACTCTGATTTCTAGTACTAAGTCTCCTGTTTTAACACCTAAATCAAAGGAGAAATCCCAAGTTAAATATTGAATGAAAATTCTACCATTTCTGACCACTTAAAACTTTTATTAACATCATTTCACCCCAGTCAAAATAGCAAAATTTAACAGAACAGCAAGCAACAAATGCTGGCGAGGTTGTGGAGAAACTGGAACCCTGATT